CATCATCTCCAGCTTTCAACAAAAAGTTACAAAGTATGCTAAAAGGCAAAAAATCCCATCTAGAAAGAAAAAGCAAGCATCAGAATTAGATTCCACATATGGCAGAGATGTTGGAATATCAGACTGGAAATCTAAAACAACTATGGTTAACATGCTAACAGCTTTAAAAGAAAAAGTGGACACCATGCAAGAACAGATGGGTAATATAAGCAGAGAGATGGAAACTCTAAGAAAGTATGAAAGAAAAATGCTGGAAGTCAGAAAAACTGTAACAAATGAAGAAAAATGCCTTTGATGGGCTCACCAATACTGGACATGGCTAAAGAAAGAGTCAGTGATCTTGAAGATACATAAATAGCAACTTCCCAAGCTGAAATGCAAAAAGAAGAGATAGAATATCTAGGAACCATAGGACAATTATAACAGGTATAACAAATGTATAATAGAATACCACAAGGGGAAGAAATAAAGAGAGAGAAAAGAAGGAACAAACAGCAGGAATATTTGAAGTAATAATAGCTGAAAATTTTTCCAAAATTAGTGACAGTCACCAAACCATAGATCCAGGAATCTCAGATAACACTAAGCAGGATGAATAACAATTATATATATATATATATATATATATATATATATATATATATACACACATATATATATGTATATAATATGCATATCATATTCAAAGAATCAAAAGCAAAGAGAAAATAATGAAAGAAGCCAGAGGGAAAAATATCTTCCCTATAGAGGTACACTATTTATTAAGATTTATTTATTTATTAACATGTATCTTAAAAAACATGAAAGCAAGAAGAAAGTGAAATAAATTATTTAGTGTGTTGAAAGAAAACCCTCGAAACCTAGAATTCCATATCCAACAAAGTTATTCACCAAAAGTCAGGGAGAAGTAAAGACTTTCTCAGACAAACAAAATCTGAGAGAATTTGTCATTCGTAGACCTGCCTTGCAAGAAATGATAGAAGAATTTTTTTAGAGAAGGAAAATGGCATAGGTTAGAAACCCAGATCTACATAAAGAAAGAAGAGCATTAGAGAGTGAAAAAAATGAAAGTAAAACAAAACTTCAATTTTTCTTATTAATCGATCTGACAGATAACAGTTGGTTCAAAATAATAGTAGCAACAATGTATTTGTTGATTAGAGCTCATGGATAAGCGAAATGAATGACAGCAATGTCATAAGGGATAGGAAGGAAGAATTGGAAATGCTCTGTTATAAGGTTGCTGTGAAGTGCCATAATGTTATTTGAAAGTGGATTTGGATTAGTTCTAAATGTGTATTACACACTCTAAAGCAACCATTACACAACTGTAAAAAGAAGTATAGTTGATATGCTAAAAGGGGAGAGGAAAAGAAAATAATGTAAAATGTGCAGTTAAAACTAGGGAAGACAAAAAAGGCACAAAGAACAAGGGTAATGATTAGCAAACAGAAACAGGGTAGATGTTACTCCAACTATATCAGTAATCGCTTTAAATGTGAATAGTTTAAATATACCAATTAAAAAACAAGATGTCACAGTGGATATAAAAACAAGAGCCAACTAGAAGCTGTTCACAGATCACACTGTTGAACATCACACAAGAACACCCAGAGATGAGCTTAAAGCATCCCTGGCCTGAGGGTCAGGAGACAGGTTTCCCTCTGGTCCACCCACTAACTTGCTATGTGACCTTTCACAAGTCACTGACATTCTCTGGGCCTCTCTATACTACTCTTGACCCCTTATTGCAAAATAAGAGGAGTTAGACTAACTCCCTTCCAGCTCAAAACCCAATGCCTCTTTACTAAGATCTGATGAGTAATCATGGGCAGAGAGGAGGCTGCAACATCTAACAGGTGCTATTTGGCTAAGCTCATGAGAGACCCAGTTGCACCCAGAAGCGGTGTGTGCATGAATGTGAAAGCACAAATCCAAAGCCCTGGCTAGTGCTTGTGAAAGCTGAACTCTTGGGTACCATTGGATGGTAGAAATATCTCACCTGGGTCCATATTTAACTAGCAGAAAATTACAAGGAATTTGCAACCCATATTTAGGTTGACTGGCATCCTACTGGTATGGAAGGAGAATGGGCCAGAGAGGAGCTCAGGGGGTGTCTGCTGAATGAAAGGGACAGAGGATTATCATAGCTCCTTGTCTATCATTCCTGCCCTGTCTTCATCTTTCAGACTAAAACACCTTCCCACTATCACCCCTGCCCCATGTGCATACATCTTCTACAGAAGAAAGAGAACAGGAAGTTTCAAATGTTTAAGCCCCAATTTTAAGAGGATTGTTCTTGAAGATCTCGTTTGCAGCTTCTAGCAAAAGCCCTGCTCATTGTCTTCAAATACAGATAACCATGGCATGACTCGTCCATTATGGCCAAAGGCATGACCATTCTGATGGCGTAAAGCACAGGAGAACCTTTGAAATTATATTCAAAAACCCATGAGGACATCAAAGGGAAGCTAAATCAATGACTCTGCATTAAATCAGGGTTGCAGGTCTGTACCCTACATGGACAGATCATAGCACATTTTTACTTTCCTAGGTTCTTCTCTCCCCAGGGTTAAGTGGTCTGGATCGACTGTACTCTTTCCCACTGACACAGTTTTGCACTGTATGGAAGCTGGCCCTATGCTGACCTTACAGATACCTTTTACCTAGGTCTATGATGTTGTTATAAACCCCAGACCCATGAAGTACTGACATTTCCACCGGGAAATTGTGGGAATTCTAATATTCCACTAGATGGAAAGCTATACGAAGACAAGGCTTGGGACTGTGTTTGCTAACATTATACCCACTGTGCCTAGCTCAGTGCCTGGCATAGAGTAAGTACTCAATAAATATTTGTTAAATGAATGGGGGGGGGGGAGAGAATCCACCACAATGTGAGCCTGAAAGAAGTAGGCACAGTTCAAATTTGATTGTTTCCAAAAATACTTCTTGAAAGTATTAATTCATTTCTCATTTCTTTAACAAACTCTCAGAGTGCCTTCTATGTGCCAGGCACCACAACACAGAAATGAATGAATGAATGAGACAGTACGCCAATTCTCATAAAGAAGAGAGAGAACAATATTCACTGAATGCAACTGTAAGTTGGGCATTTTTTGTTCATTATTTCATCCTTCCAACAAACTGTGAGGTAAATATTATTTATTTCCCCCCTCCTTCACAGACAAAGGAAGAGGGAATTGCACAAAAACCCACATGTAGCAAATAGCAGTGCCAAGAATTTATTCCAGGACTTGGGTACTTCCTCTAGAATGTGTTTTCTCCCCAAAGTCAAGTTAAAATCACAGTGTGATGTTCTGTTATGTGATGTTATGCTGAGGAAACTCAGGTCACCAAAAATTGAGTTGTAAGTAAATAGTTTCATTGGGAAAAGGGAAATAAGAATTTTATGTTCTCAATTTCAGGTTGTTTAGGTTGGAAAAAAATTTTAATAATGGAGGTGCTTTGTAACTACATGAGTGTGTAATTGAAGGTTAGAAATAATAAACTGCTCAAACAAAACAAATGAAAATTACAGAGTTAAGTCCTAAATAGCATCTAAGGCCCAAGTCAATGAGTTTCTAAATTATCATTATCATAACTCATTGGTATGATAAACAAAGCACAACATTAAACTAAGATGGTTGAAGTCAAAACAAAGTGTGGTGTAGTTCACATTGCCGATGATGAACAAAAGAACATGAAAACAAGAATTTGCCAACTGCTCTTCTGTGCACAATAGCTTTTTCTCCAGGACCTGGTAGTAATTCCCGACTGCTTGAATTATAACGAAGAGATATCCATAATATGAATTGTGTTCCCTAAGGTCTATTGTGTTATATCCTATGTGCTTTATGAAGGCTCAAACTGTGGGAGGGAAATAGGGAAATGAACCCTTAGACATGAGAGCAACTTGGAGAAATGCTCAGGGTCAGGTTGTCTTGTAGGGATGGGAGGCCCACTGCAGAGATAGCCACGTGACTTGCATGTTTGAGGGTTGCCTGTTTCCCTGAACCCTAAAGCCATTTTGCAAATCACCATTTCTTCCCAATGGGTGAAAATACATGGAGCCTGGAATCATCTGCATTCATATATTGGCAGAAACTTTGAAAGCACGTTGTTCCCATCCACCCTACCTGGGTCAGATGAGGAGCTGGGAAAACAAAAATTCATAATCAACTCAAAATCCAGCAGCTCAGAAAGTGCCCAAGGTGGTGGGGAATGTTCTACAACTGGAATAGTCCTAAAGGGTATGGCCCAATCCTAATGCAGTGATGACTCTCTTACATTTTTATACTTCCCTGCAATTTTTAATGATTTCATAACAACTATGGGAGTGAAGTCATATTCTTATTTTTATAGATGAAGAAACTGAAGATGAGTAAGTGATTGTCAGCAACCATCAGAGTAGGGCTAAAATCCTGTCTTCCAGCACCATATTTAATAGACCTCTACCACAAAATGATAGGGTATGTTTTCTAGGAGCAATGAATGGCTTTCGAGTCAGATCTGCATTTGCATCCAGGCCATATATCCAGGATATACCACTTTCGGCCATGTAATTTGTCAAGTTCTTTAACCTCATTAAGCTTTAGTTCCTCATCTGTAAAATGGGGACACATATGACACCTAGCTCATGGGGTTACTATGAGGGTCAAAAGCAATATGCAGATAGCATGCTCAGCACAGAACTTGGCCATGGGTAGAGCCGGACAAATGTGGAGCGTTTCGGGGCATGCGTTTTGGGTGGAGGAATCTCATTCCTCCTCTGTGGTTTAGTATTCCTAGGGGCACAAAGCCCCTAGGGAACATTTTACCATATCTAAAGCTACAAGGAGATAGAAATTTGGGACAGAAGGGGAATGCTTAGGGACCTGATTACTGAGCCTGGAATGGAAGTGAAGGAATGATCAGTCCACAGGGAGCAGGTCTGTGCCTCCACCCACAGTGCCATCTGCGCTGGGTCCCTAAGGCAGAGAGGACCCTCCATTCCCCACCTGGAAAGCCATGGAGTTGGCAACAGCCAGAAATATCCTCAGAGGCAGCTTGGCTTTGTAGGACCTGTGGCTCCACAAGCGATGGGCACCAGCTGTCACACCCAGAGCAGATAAGAGGAAGCAGAAGTACGCTGTAAGACACAAGCAGGGAAAATGTCAGTAAATGTCACCAAGCTCCTACACAAGCTTTTTCCCCTATGCTTTTTTCTCTTCTGCATAGACCCATGGGAAATGGTGTTAGAACAATCTGCAGTGTGAAGGAAGAATCGATAACTTGGGGAAATGCAGACTTTTTATTGATTTGTAGCTTTTCAGTACCAGGCAGAAGTGGTGAAAACTTTCCTCAAGAAACTTTGACCTTTGAACATTAATTTTTCTCTATCAAACAAATCTTTTATTTGCTAATGTTTCTTGCCAGTCTTGATGCAAAGTCTTAATCACGTTAGTGTGTATTTGTAACTCAGTCTTACATGCTCATTCTCTGTAGAGCTAAGATTGATGTTTATGTTGCCTCTTGACTGGCACCTGTGCTAGGAAGTGTGTTATATGAAGACCATATTTCTAAATGGCAGTGCCATTATCATGGCTTCATAGGCCTTTGTTTGAAGGAAATCAGGCCAGATCTAAAAGCATTGAAGTCTGGCTCAGGACCAGTGAGAATGAGAATAAAAATGACAATAGGGACAACTGAGATTTGCCTTCTAGAGATCCCCACTTACACCATCCCTATGACCCGGGATGGCAAAGATGGCCAGGTGGGGAATTTTTTTAAAGCCAGACTACAGTGGAGCTTATTATCTGCCACACACTTAAATATATTATCTTTAATCCTCATGACATGTTGTAGTGTCTCATTTTACAGTTGAGGAACCGGATCTCTGAGAGTTAAATCCTGCCTCTATACCCAAGTCAGCCTTGTTCCAAAGCCTCTGCTAAGAGACCCCATGCTGCCTAACCAGTGGTGGGGGTGGATTACTTTTTATACCAAGACCTGGGAGAGTTTATAAAAGCCTGTGTAGGGGTGTCTGGGTGGCTTAGTCACGCGACCAACTCTTGATCTCTGCTCGGGTCATGATCTCATGGTTTGTGAGATCAAGCCCTGCTTCGGGCTCTGTGCTGACAGTGCAGAGCCTGCTTGAGATTCTCTCTCTCTCTGCCCGTCCCTCCCTCCCTCCCTCTCTCTCTCTCAAAAGAAATACACTTAAAAAAAACTGTTAAAAAAGTGTGGTATAAAGGGGACACAGGGACCCCCCAATAAATTATTATTCCTGAGATTATTACAACTACTTTAGTGCTTTTAAAGCAATATGCCCACACAATGCTAAATGTCTTACTTGGATTATCTTATTAAAAACACATCAAACAATCTTATAGGGTTTATATTATTATTAATCCCATTTTACAGATGAGAAAACCAAGGCTTAAAGAAGTTAACTAATTTCCCAGTGTCACAAAGCTAGGAGGTATCTTTGCTAAGAGTCAATTTCTAGTCTGTCTGAACCAAGAACCAAGTTCCTGACCCCACACTCCCCTATCTCTCTGGGAGACATCAAGTAAGTTTTATCTTTACTTCTTTACACCCCACTACCATCCTTAATACTGGATTCCAGTCTAAATTTAAAAGTGAGCTTCTTCCTTACTTGAGGGGAGAACTCTAAACCTAGCTTATAAGTAGGTAGGATCAGGCATATTATCCCACACAATTGCTTCTAGCACTGAGCACATACAAGGCCCTCCATAAAGATGTGGCAAAGAACAAGTGATTGGCTGTCAGAACATCCCTGATCAACTGTGAATGGTACCAGGACAAGATGAGTTTTTAGGGAGACTATTATAGCACTTGTCTAGAAGAATTACTAGGGTAACTTCAGTGTCAATATATGTATTCAAAAGTAGAACCATATTACATCTCCCAAAGGTCAAGTCTGATCTTGACCTCAATCCATATTTATATGGGTCTGAAAACAAGACTTACCCTTGGCACTAAGATTAATGAGTCTCTGAATGCATGTGCTTTTCATAAACTTGACAAATCATTCCTTACTTGAAAGGTTAACAACAAAAAATGACAATCTGCTCATAAATCACAAAAAATAACAGTATATAAAAAGTTGTGGCCTCTTTTGTTATTATAATTTAATCTTGGTCATGAGTCTATGAAACGGACAGCTATTTTCCATGTCATCCCTGGCCTTCATGTCTCTACCAATAATTTTTTCCCAACTGTCAAGTAGTTAGGGAATAAGAAATCTATAATGGAAAAATTCAATGTGACTCTATTTTTGCCAGTGGACTAAGACACTGGACAATGAAAAACATTGGCCAAAAAAAGAATCCATTCAATGCATGGTTCCCAGACAGGGCCTTATCACAGACAATGCTTCCCAGTATGGGATCTCCACTATTTCAGGGATCACTTACATGGTTGATCTGAGCTGGGCAGTAGTGGCTATTGGTTTTTCATGGTCCTTCCTCTGGCAACAAGAATGTGGCCATGTAACCCAGGCCTGGCCTAGCATATGACTCCATCTTCCTGGCCCTGGAATAAACAGCTGACCCAGACTTTCTCTCTCTTCTGGCTCAAAGACTAAAGGTCACATATCAAGGCATGATTACAATAGTAGAGAATGAGGCCAAGTAAGTGAGACATGAAGATGATGGAGATGCCAATAAGAGCCGAGAGGAGAGCTGCCTGCCCCGGGCCACTGGTTGCAGCCCCCAGAGCTCTACAGTTCTTTTGATGCTGTGAGCCTCCCTGGTATTTCTCCTAGTTATGTGAGGCGACAAATTCCCTTTTCTTGTTGCTAGTTTGCTCTGGATTTCTTTTTTTTTTTTAAATGTTTATTTATTATTTTGAGAGAGAGAGAGAGAGACAGACAGACAGACAGACAGACAGAGCATGAGCAGGGGAGGGGCAGAGAGAGAGGGAGACACAGAATCTGAAGCAGGCTCCAGGCTCCGATCTGTCACCACAGAGTCTGACACAGGGCTCGAACCCATGGACCCCAAGATCATGACCTGAGCAGAAGTCAGATGCTTAACTGACTGAGCCACCCAAGTGTCCCTGGATTTCTGATACTAAAATTCCGCAGAACCTCTGGGGAAGAAAGCAACCTCTGGCCATAGCCCAAATGAGGACAAACTACAAAAACCCTTACCTGAATATGAGACTGTTATATTGACAGGGCTCAGTTTTCCTATTTTGATAGGGCTAATTTCAGAGGTTTTTAACCTCTTTTCTATGATCTTTGTGGAGATTGATATCCAAACTAGTTTTCAGATGGATGCTGCCTAGTTGGCTCTGAGAGAGTCAACTACTCAGAAACAGAATTGATAACTTTGGGGGGAAAAGGAGTAACAAGCAGGGTCAATAATTTTATCAAGTAGCTCACACCTCACAGAGAAAGGAACTAGATCAACAGAATTCAGAATCACAATATTACAGAATAGTAAGTAGCAAACACCTATATTGGTCTGGATGCAAAGAAGAGTCACCAATTCAGGCTATCTCAAGTAAAAAAAGAATGTAGAGATGCCTGGGTGGCTCAGTCCATTAAGCATCCCACTTCAGCTCAGGTGTGATCTCACCTTTCGTGAATTTGAGCCCTGTGTCAGGCTCTGTGCTGACAGCTCAGAGCCTGGAGCCCACCTCAGATTCTGTGTCTTCCTATCTCTCTGACCCTCCCCCATTAGCACCCTGTGTCTCTTTTTCTCTCAAAAAATAAACATTAAAAATAATGTTTAAAATGCATTAAAAAGATATTAAATAGCCTACAGATCTCATACTTGGGGGGGTGGGTTGCAGGACATTTGCAGGACAGTTTTGGTACAGAGCCTCCAAAATGGCCCCAATGCTCCCTGCCTCCTGATATTCATGCCTTGCGTAATTTCTTCCCCTTTAGTAACTTGCTCCTAACCAATAGAATGTAGAAACATTGAGGGAACATCAGTTCCATGATGAGGTCACAAAAGATTGTGACTTCTGTTTTGCTAGCAGATTCTCTCTTATGTTGGCTTTGATAGAGTAAATCACCACATTGGGATGACCCATGTGGCAAGGAAGTGAGGGTGGCCTCCAGCCAACAGCTAGTGAGGAAATGAGACTTTAGTCCAATAATCCTCAAGGAACTGAGTCCTCTCAACAAAAGTGTTAGTGAACTTGGAAGCAGATCCTTTCCCAGTCAAGCCTTCAGATAAGACAGCAGCCTGGGTCAACACACTGCTGCCTTGTGAGAGATCCTGGAGCAGAGGGCCCAGCACCAGTGGTACCTGGATTCCTGCTTCACAAAAACTGTGAGAAAATAAATGTATGTTGCTTTAGGTTGATAAATTTTGGGGTGATTTGTTCTGTGGCAATAGTAATGCAAGACTTAAGTAGAAACCTTACCTCAAGGGAAGGAAGGTATACTTTAAATCCTGGTTTAAGAACAGTTTGCTGTTGGGGTGTCTGTGGCTCAGTAGGTTAAGTGCCCGATTCTTGATTTCAGCTAAGGTCAGGATTTCATGTTTTTGAGTTCGAGCCCTGCATCAGGCTCTGCACTGGCAGTGTGGAGACTGCTTGGGATTCACTATCTCTCCTTCTCTCTCTCTCTCTGCCCCTCTCCGCTCACATGCTCTCTCTCTCAAAATAAATAAATAAACTTAAAAAAAAAATAACAGTTTGCTGTCTATAGGGACAAAAAGTAGATTCATGTTGTGAAGAGCTGGGAGGGCAGGGAGGGAGGAGGGGAGTGACTGTTAATGGGTATGGGGGGATTGGTGTGAAGAGTGATAAAAATGTTCTAAAATTGATTTTGGTAATGGTTGCACAATTCTGTGAATATACTAAAAGCCAATAGATGAGTTGTATGCCATGAGTAAAAACTTAATAAAGCAGTCATTAAAAAAAAAAAACCTATTACTGAATTCCTAATAGACTTTGTTATTATGTATATTTTCTAAATGCAGAATAAAATAGACATGCCATGAAACAAAACAGAACAAAACAAACAAAAATCAACCATTTGCCTAGGATGCCACCACAGGCATCATCACCCCTGGACACTGGGCACCAATGGACACTCATGTCATACTGTGGTCTCTTAAATCTTCCGCAGCTGCCAAGAAGAGTCCCTATTTGACCCTTGGCCTA